ACCACTTTTTTTGGCAAAATACCATAACAAGTCAGGTTGCATTAATGTTGAAAAGTTATCATCAAATAACCAGAGATTGAACTAAAAAAAATTCTCAAAGTGACTATTAAAGCCCACAACACAAACCAAGTCAATACATGGATGCTCCTAAAGTTTTTCACGTATAGTGCGTAGCCTTGTGTTTTTTAAAGTTGACCAAGCCCAGATGTCAGGCTTAAGCCCCTTTACCTTTAAGATGACATGCTACTCCATCATCAGGTCTTAAAAGAAAGAAAGAAAGAAAGAAAGGAGAGAGAGAGAGAGAGAGAGAGAGAGAGAAGATGAATAAAAGTTAAGAAAGAAACAAAATTTTCCTGCCTAAGCCCTCATCAACACGCTCCTTTTCACTTTCAAAAGCTTTTCAAAGAGGTCCACCAACCCGAAGTCAAGGAAAATTGCCTAGCAGGGCAGGCACATGGAGACCATTTTCCATTGCATGACTCATCACAAAATTCCAAGAACAAATAGGGGAGGGGAAAAAAAAAAGGGCAGGGGGGAGGGGTTAGGTATAATCCATAATTGATGAGCTTTTAAGAAGTAGACAAGCAAAATTCAATGAACTCCAGAAATGAGAGTGACTTGAATCATTAATGGAAAAAGTATGTACTATTTCCAACATTCCAAAAAGGAATGATACAAAAGCTGCCAAAGCTGTTACGTGGTTGAATGATAACCTGGTGTATAAACAAGTGGGTTGGAGTTTTTTTTTTTTTTTTAACTTATCTTTTTTCTTTCCTGAGAAATGGGGAAGTGTAGGGATATACTTTTCATTCTTACAGCTGATCAAATAAGAAAATTAGTCGTAAGCAACTCTGAAAAGTTTGGTAACAACAAACGAGCGTAGGTTGTAATAGAACACTATAATGACTCAAATATCAGATGCATTCCGCTAGCAATAAGTTAGAACTTGACAATACAAATATCATTTGGAAAAAACTAGACATTAACAACTGATTGTAACCAGTTATATATAACCAAAGGTCAAAATAAAACCAACAGCAAGTTTAGAATGCTTTTACCCCTAATGCAGTGTCTGTGCCAAAAGGAGATCGAAGTTTTCCATAATACTGACATGCTATCTTAAGCAATGAGAGAAGCAACCTCAAAACTTCGCCTTTTCTGTAATCCACGTCAGGAGACTCACAATTTGCAATCCTCTCATCAATCCACTTGTTCACCTCTTTATTACCAACATTCCCTCCAACCAAGGGACCAGGAAAGGACTGTCTGCACAGTGTGTTGAAATAATCAAAGGCGCCCACTGCCATGCTTGATGGGTCAATTTTCTCAGTGACAACTTCCATCAAGCTAAGGACAGAGATTGAGCCTCCTAAAGGATCCTTCACATACAAGAAGCAAAAAATTTTTTTAGCTTTTTCATTCAAGTGATGACATATGATAAAACTTTGCATTATAACTTAAGCTAGAAGAGTTCATGAGCTAACCTGGCTCCCATAGGATGAGGCACTGAGGGAACTATTATCTTTCATCACAATGAGTTTTCCACCAAACCCAAAAGTAACCAACGCATGCGAAGGACGGCCTGCAGATGACCTTCCTGTATTAGGAGCATTAGAAAATTGATGGCCACTCTGAAACGGTTGAGGCGAAAAATTTATGGAATTCTGATTGCCATAGTAATTGTCTGACACATGCATTTGCTCATTCTGCTGCATGCTTGGCTGATTAACCTGCTGGCTGAAGTTTTCACTAGGAACAAAAGATCGTGAACCAGTGGTTGTATAGTCATTATGACCCTGGCTTGCTTTCTCATAAAATGAAAATGTTCCCCTGGAATCATAAGACTTCTGTTGACTGACTTGGTTGTTCGCAGAAAAATTTGAACCATAATTATTCTCCAATTGGTGGTTTCCACTGAGATCCACAGGAGCCTCACTTTTGTCAACATTCTCAGGTTGCCACATATTCACACCCTGCTGATTGTAATTACTGAAAGACCCAAACAAGTTAGAATCTTGGTTTTTCGGAGCAAAGCCTTGAGAGCTGTAGTTTTCCACTTGCCCATAGTCACCAGAAGTTTTTTGATCATTTTCATGGGAAGATGTACCAGTTGATGCAAATCCATTTTGATTTAGCTGATCATGACCTTGAATTGTTGATTGAACAGAGGAGGTGTAGGACTCCAACGAGCGCCACTCTTGGGCAATTGTATCATAATACCAACCGGGGTATTGAGGGTCAAAAACCATATGCGCTGGGAACTCGTTATTCCCTTGTGAAACCTGATTCCAATTAAAGACACTCTCAGCACCACCACTCTCTTGCGACACCTGATTCCAATTAGTGACACTCTCAGTCATGCCACTGCCATGAGACAACTGATTCCAGTTAGTGACATTCTCTGTGGTACCACTCTCAGTTACAGTACCCACAAAGGACTGAGCAGTTTGCTGCAAGTAAGAAACCTGTGAATTCCCATCAGAAGCAGCCCAATCACCAGAAAGATTAGAGTCAAAGCTCCCTTGTACATTTCCTGTAGCATCATAACCATCCACTTGGTACCATTGCCCAGTATTTGTGTCATACTTCCACCCCGGATAAAGATTCTCCCAATATTGACTACTATTTAGATCCTGCCCATCTGCACTTTGTCCCGTAGCAGCATCATAAGCTTGATTCTCTTGATTTTGCACGTAATCATAACTATTGCAATCGTAGGTAGTTTTAAGCTCATCGCTGCTAGATCTAATCTTTGATTCAGTATTGAAATTATCCTCCACCTTCCCAGCTGAATCAACAGATCCTCCAGCACCATCACCCAGTTCAGTAAAAAAATCCGAGTACGATCCAAACCCGCTACTAACATTCTGCCCTAAATCAGCGTTAAACGCATTCCATTGCACCTCCTTAACACCTGAACCTCCAGATCCCTTACTCTTGCTTATAGATGAATCCGAATTCACCTCCGTAGCAACATCCACACCACTAGATTCAACCCCACTATCCAATTCAAACCCAATTGAATTGGATGACACTAGTGAGCTACTACTCTCTTCAACATTCCCATCCACCGACACCACATTAACATCACCGCGAATTTCTTCTTCCTTAACTTGGGTCTCAGCTTCACTAGCTGAATCTTCAGACCCAGAAGCAACATCAGCAATACTCAAATTGGCAAATGCTTTCGCCTCATCAGAATCATTCATAATGTCGGTATGCTGAACCACCGACGATGATGAAGTGACCTTGAAGACAACATCATCATCATCATCATCAACAACTAATTTGTCAAAGAAAGCCTCATCCGTCTGATCCTCCAACTGAAATGGAGGATTCGAAGCCATCGACCAAACCCTAACCCCTCTTAGATCCTCCACTCAATTCACCAAAAAACCCACCAAAATTTCCCCAAACCCAGACCCAAAACCTCGAATTGCGAGCTCGTATCGTCACAGAAATCCGAGATCCCAACAAAACCACCGACTACAGCGAAACTAACTCAAATCCAGACAAAACGAAGCACAAAACAAACAAGATCTAGAGTTTTACCAATCACAAAAAAATATATCACACCTCAAATCTGCAAATTTAGGCTTTAAATTCAACACATCGAATTAAAAAAAACACTGGAAATTCATATTGAAAACTGAACTTACCGATTGAGAGACAACAATTTCCGAAGCGAATCGGAGAGAGAGAGGGAAAAGACAAGCCCTCGATTTCCCACCAGCGAGACGGTCTCAAGAGTCTCAACAACCCCGCCAAGTGTCTTTTTATTTTTTATTTTACTGCGTTTCGGTTTTTTTTTGGTTTTGTTTTGTTTTTGTATTGTTTTACTTTATTTCTAATATAGTTTTTTTTTTTTTTTTTTTGGCTAATAAATGTTTGTCATATATTTATTAGATTTGGCTGAGTTTTATGGTGTAGGTTAATATTAGGGTGTTTTGGAAAGTTGGTAAAAAGTTAATTTTTAATTTTTTTCCAAATTTTTTAATTTTTTGAAAAGTGATTTGAAAAGTTAATAAAAAGTTGACTTTTTATTTTTTTATTTAATATTTATTTATAATGTCAAATCAAATTAAAATGACCAAAATACTCTTATCCAACATAAGAAATTTATTTTTTTATTTTTTTATCATAAGCCCTAATTTGTAATTTCACACTTGTATTTTTAGCTCTTCCCAAACCAATTTTATTACATTTTTTGCTACTTACATTTTTGAAAAATGATAAAAAAACGTGATTTTTTTATGAAAGCTTCCAAAACGGCACATTGAAAGTACGAGCAATGCACATCTTACACTATTTAATTTGAGTTAATTAATTGCCTTATTTGATAAAATTAAATTAATTTTACTTTTAAAATTATTGTAATTTATTTAATGTCATTTAAACTATGCTCTATCTACACTGTTTTATTTTATTTTTATTTTTTATTGTTCATGTCGTTTAGTAAACATATAATTAACTACATCGATACTCCCTTCAAATCAAAAGTTTATAGAAAATTAATTTGTTCAAAATTGTAGAACTTGCACCTAAAGATATATTGATTTCACTTAAAATTATATATCATATTATTTAATAAATTTTGCTAATAAGTATCTCCTGAATATAAGAAATTAACAAAATTTATATATATCCCGATATTATTCATTTTTTTATAAATTTCAAAACACTTTATAATTTTTCTACACTTTTTCAAGTTTTTTTTTCCTCATTTTCAATTTTTCCAATATTAGCATTGGTCTTATTATATAAACTAATTAAAACTCAATTTTGATCACATATGCTACTAGAACCAGACTCGTTTGAGTGTTTAAATTCCACATTGACTAATTAATGTATTCTCTCTTATTAATGGTATAAATTAGATTTTTAACAGTGGTGTTATATGAACCAATTAGTGTATTAATTAATGTATCAATACTAGTTATGACATTATTATTGACCTCACTCCTTAATCACATTATAAATATTAAAAACCTCTTAAATTATGCCAAACCATCAATTGATACACTAGTTAATACACTAATTAGTGCATATATTATTATTCGATTTTTAATAATGAAATACTTACCATCTTTTTTAAACCCAATACATTAATACTTGTGATTACATAAGAAGGTAAATTACAAACACAGTCCAAAAGTTTATTTAAATTACAAATTACTCCCTCTGATTCTAGAAATTACATTATGTCCTCTAAGATTTCTAATTTCATAACAAATAAGTCATTTTATTGATAAATCATAAAGTTAATTAACAATTTTTAATAATGTTAAAGTTTTATTTCAATTAATAATTCAGCTAATTTTATTATTTTTTAGGTGAACAGTTAGAAATTTTACTTTTTCAATTAATTCTGGTAAAAAAATAATTCTGATAGGGAGGTATTTGTAATTTTTCAAGTCATAAGGGACAATTCGTATTTTAAACAAATCTTAAAAGGTGTATTTGTAATTTACAAAAAAAAAATAGATATAATAAATATAATAAATATACAATAATTGTTAAATTTTGTTAGTATTGCTGTTGACCAAAGAACCCTTATTGGTTGATAATAATATCAACATACATCTCAACTATAAATAATATTTTTTTAAAAAATCTAAAAATTTTAGATTTAAGCAATCTCTGACCAAAATTATTTTGAGTTACCATCCAACAATTTTACGTTGATTGTTTTCTACTCTATTTAGGGATGGCTATTTTAATTTAATCTGTTTATACACGTTTAAATAAAATGAATTTTATTCATTTCAATATTTATGTGAGGTGAAAGTGGATTATATTTTGATTACCCGTAATGGAGGATTGGACCAGACAAATATTGTTCTCTTGATCCAAACTTGACCTGTTATAATTTTTAATTTTTTTTTGTATTGTTTAAAATGTAATCAAATATTTACGGGCATCGAGCATCCGCGTAGACAGAGTGGGGTTGAAAAATTTTACCTGTAACGAGGGTGGAGCAGAAACGGCAGCAAAGTTTGTCAGCGAAGACAAAAGCAGAAAAAGACAAACCCGCCTCGTGATATTCCTAACTACATTATTCTTATTCAAATGGTGCATGCACGCACACCACGTATTGGACCTTGTGCTTTTTTTTTTTCTTTTTCTTTTTTTTTCCGTTTTTGCTTTTTATTGGTGGGCTATTAAACTGTACTTGAGTAGATCCCAAACCAGGACTCCCTCTAGCCCAGTCGACTGTGGTTGTGGCCTCCAATCTAAAAGGTTGGGCCTACACAAATTAGTATGGCCCAACAAGATGTGAATTATACCACTATTAAATTATATTTATCAATTTTTTAAATTAAAAAATATACAATAAACTCCACATATTTCACATAATTATATTGAATTTTAAACCCAAAATTATGGACCACTTTCTCCACCCCCCACCCCAAACCATAGATGGGGACACTATGAGAAGGTTGATGCACATTAATTAAGTTTTGAAAAAGTACTGGATGGAATTTGAGTGCATGTTTGGGGTTTTAAGAAAAAAGTCAATTTTTATTAAAAATCAAAAAATTACTAAGTTATTTTTCATTAGTTAAAAAATAAAATGTTTCATTAATTTTTTTCATTCATAATTTTTTTTTTCAACTTCCCAAATGGATCTGTTTGAATTGATTTTCAAATCTTTTTCTAAAAAATTAAAATTTAATTTGATGAAAAAATTTTAAAAAATAAAAATTACTCATAATTTTCATATAGTTTTAGTTTTTTTTAAGTGTAGAAATAATTTTTAAAAATAAAAAATATATATATTTTTAGTATTTATTTTCGTCAAACTAATTTGTATTTTTTCAAAAAAAAATTCAGAAAACAATTTTAAAAAATCAAACCAAATAGATCCATTTGAAAAGTTACTATTTTTGAAAAAAAAAAATTTGGTGAGTTAAAAAAAAAGGATTTGACATCTAATTTTTTTTAATTGATATGACTTTATAATTTTTTTAACAAAAGTTAATTTTCTTCTCAACACCCAAAGCATGCACTGAGATTCCATCCAATACTTTTTGGAAGCTTAGGCCTTGTTTGGGAAGTTGGCTATTTTAGTAGATTATTTTAATTTTTGGTTATTTTAGTAGGTTAAAATTTTTATACTCTCCCACTTTTCGTAATGGAAGAGATCCACAAAATTATTTTTTGATGTCTAAGGTCCTACACATATAACAGAGAAATTCCAGTCCTTTCATCTGACCCGCGTCGACGACCACCTCCGTGAAAACGTAGAGGCCACCATGGACGTCCCCTCCGACCACCAATACTTTTTGGAAGCTTAGGGCTTGTTTGGGAAGTTGGCTATTTTAGTAGATTATTTTAATTTTTGGTTATTTTAGTAGGTTAAAATTTTTATATTTAGGAAGATGGTTGGATTTTTATGTAGTTAAATATTTGTGAGAAAAAAAAGTGAAATAATTACTGATTTGATAGGACATTTTATCTTATTAATTATTTTAACCTATTTTATCTTTTATGAATTTTAGCATAAAAAAACCAAAAATTCACTTCTCAAACAGGGCCTTAATTAATGTGCATCAACCTGCTCATATTGTTCCCCCATCTATGACTTGGGGTGGGGGAGTGGAGTGAAGAAAGTGGTCCAAAATTTTGGATTTAGTTTTGATTTTTTATTTTTTTTAAATTCATGAAATTCGGATTTGAATTTGTATTTGATTTTGATTTTAGATAGTCAGTGGTGCAACCATTTTTTTCCTTCACCAAAAAGAAAAGCTGGAAAAAAGTGCAAAACTTGTAAAATTCAGCAAGAGCAAGCAAAGCTCAAAACACAAACATACATATTTAAACATATATACATAGGTACTACGTAGTAATACATACAAGAATGGTTGAAGACTTTTAATAAGAATGAGCAGAGAGAGTTATATTATGATGTAATACTCTCTATGCTATGCTCATTTGTTACATCCTGGTTAAGTAACTTGTGACATTTTCATACCCAATGTATATATATGGGTACAAGGCATTGATTAAAATAAATTTTTTTTAAAAAAAAAAAAAAAATCTCAATAAGATACAAGGCATTCATTGCTCCCAATTAAAAATGTGAAATTTGGAAACAGTTTCTTTTTTTCATTTTCATTTTCTTTTTTTTTTAAAAAGTGAAATTAATTTTAAATGAATGCCACAAATTTAAAATGTGACATTTGGAAACACTTTTGTTTTTCCATTTTCTTTGCTTCTTTTTTTTGTTTGAAAAAGTGAAATTAATTTTAAAATTTTTAAACAAATTTTCATTCTCTACTCCCCTATTCCACCACCTTCGCTCACGAGCCATAATTGAACTCTAACATGGTCAGTCGGTGATCTCTAAATAGTTTTGAACACTTTTTCGCCAGCTAGCGATGAATTCTGATTACTTTTTGTGTGATTTGTTTGCTAGTTGCCACCAATTCCAGTAATGACTTCTCACCACTTCTACTACTAGTTATCACATTCGTCCACCATCCACTATCGGCTACCACTTTTAACAACTTGCCAAATATATTTCTTTAATTTTGTTTTCAATTGTTTTTTAAACATTTTTTGTGCACTATACAAGTTTTTGTTTTGTTTAAAAAAAACTAAAAATAAAAGCAGCTAACGATGAATTCTGATTACTTTTTGTGTGATTTGTTTGCTAGTTGCCACCAATTCCCGTAATGACTTCTCACCACTTCTGCTACTAGTTATCACATTCGTCCACCATCCACTATCGGCTACCACTTTTAACAACTTGCCAAATATATTTCTTTAATTTTGTTTTCAATTGTTTTTTAAACATTTTTTGTGCACTATACAAGTTTTTGTTTTGTTTAAAAAAAACTAAAAATAAAAGCTTATTTCTTTTTATTTTTGTAAACAAAAAATAAGAAACTAACAATGTTATCAAACAATACTTAAATATTTCTTAGCATGAACTCAATACATTAACCTTGAAGAATAGGTGGGTGCTAGATGTTAGTGGACAAACATAATCTACCTTAATTTGTAGGAATAGAGATAACGTTGATCTCATCTATCTTCTTGTTTTATGGATTGAGAAAATATGTATATTAGAGACTAGTCAATTAATTTTGAATTAGATAATTCTAATAATTCTATCATGTAATTAGAGCCATATATTGGATAGCTTTTTGAGGCTAGATCTCCATCCCGAATTTATCTCTCTTATTTGCAGAAGAGTGTTAGAAACTTATCTCATCTCATATTATCTCTAGTTGTGGACGTAAACAATGTAATGGGTCTGTTAAATAGTTTTCCAAAAATTGATACAAAACAAAATGAACCCAAATGCTCAAAACAGCATAACATACTCTCAAATCACAACCACAAGCCAAAAATATTTATAAAAAAAATTAAAATTAAAATTAAAGATTAAAAATTTAACCTTTTTATAATGTCAAAGGCTACAATAGTGTCCACGTTTGATGGGATTGATGAATTCAGGATCGGAAACTGCTGAGACCTCATGATGTTGGCTAAAATCCTCGTCTTCCAGTGGAGCTGGCATATTGAGATCTATCAAACTGTCTCCAAATTTTCTACCACCTTTCTTATCAACCAAACAGTCACCAAATTTAGCAGAGTTTGATGATGACGAAATCAACAAGTGTGATCTCTTGTGCCCACCAAGTGCTTGTCCCGACCCAAATACTCTGTAACAAATCGGACACTCATGAAGTCTCTGATCACAATTGTCATCTTCATTGCCATTAAAGCAACTTTTGACCTTTCTGTGATTCGTTCTCAACACTTTCTCGCGAGTCCGACTCGGTCCCAACTCATCCGAACTCATCCAAGTGTCTCTCGAAAGCATCATGAGAGACAGAGCAACGTCTTCTTCAGGGGACGTATCAGAGACCGAACTCACTGGTTCCAACTCGGCCACTGACTCAGTTGAATTGGGTTTTTTCAATCCTTGATGTTCTGCAAAACCCATCTTCCGAGTCCGCTTGGATCGCGGGCGAGTTGGGTTTCTTGACAACTCGGTCTTGCTTTCTCTGTCTTGAACAAGTGGACTTTTCTTTGGGTTTTTTTCTTTCAACCCATGAAACAGAGCTTTCTCTTCACTTTCTCTCTGTTCTTGGTCTGAAGAAGAAAGAGACGAAGCTGAGTCAGAAGGGTCACTGAGTTGTTGGGTTTTTGGAGGAATCGGTAAAATGGCTAAGTGACACCTGATGTGACCACCCAAAGCTTTGCCATTGGCGAAAACTTTAGAACATAGTTTACACTTGCGTCTCTCCTCCATTAACAAAAACAGAGCAGACCAATCAACAAAGATCAAATCTCTCTTTCTCTTCCTGTCTCTCTCTCTCTCTCTCTCACACACACACACACACACACACACACTCGCACTCACACAGAGTTTTGTGATCCAGAGGAGTGCAGAAAGGGTGTGGGAACTTGAGAGGAGTAGGTGACAAGCATTCTTCCCAAAATACTTTTTTGCATATGAACTTTGGAAAATAACAAAGTGGAAGGTGGGAAACTCACAGAAAGTGATCTGCTATATAAATTTTTATTTTGAAAAGTAAGGACTAGTTTGGAAATACTAAATGAGTGTATTTTTTGACTTTTTATGAAATATGGGTTGGATTTGGGTTGGGTTTGAAGTGATGTGTTAGAGAAGTGATGTGATTTAAATAAGATGATGTGACTTAAATAGAATAGTGACTTTTTAACTTTTTATCTTTTTTCAATCATGCCAAACTTGACCTTAAAAGTTAATTTTTTAATTTTATTTTTTTGAAAAAATATATAAAAAAGTAGAGAAGTGACGTAATATAAAAAAACCAAAATGTTAAAAAATTAATTTTTAATTAACTTTCCAAAATAGGTTAAATGATAAATAATTATGGTACATATATGCACTTTATAACTAAAAAAAATAAAATATCATAACTATATATTTTTTAAATTATAACTAAAAAAACAGTCATATCCAAACACGACAGAACTAAAGATATCATGAGTCATATAAAAATATATTTAAAATGTTGTGTCGATGATACTTTTAAAATTATAAAGTAAATGATTTGTGTTTTAATTAAAAATAAAATGATCACAAAAAAGAGCTTAATTTGTATCGAAATTTTGTATATATTTTATTGATGGTATATCATTATTACCTAAAATTTAGAGATAAGTGAGAACTTTTTAAAAATTACAACAGTAGAAGAGTAAATTTTTTTTATTTGTAAAAACATGAAATTTTGTGGACCAAAATGCTATATGCTATGGCTCTTTCATTTTCGCTAGTCGCACCACTTCTTTACTACTCCTCTACTCATTCCAATAACTCCCACCCCTTCCTTACCGAGTCACATGATAGTTTTCGTCAACTGATCTTTTAACACAAAATTAATATTATAATTAAAAATAAGGAATCAAAATAAAATTTAGTATAAAATATATAAAATATAATTTATCCTTTATTTTATATTTATTTATTATTATTATTATGTTATGGTGCAAGAAGCCAAATTATTCCACTTCTTTATTACTCCTCTACTCATTCCAATAACTCCCACCCCTTCCTTACCGGGTCACATGATAGTTTTCGTCAACTGATCTTTTAACACAAAATTAATATTATAATTAAAAATAAGGAATCAAAATAAAATTTAGTATAAAATATATAAAATATAATTTATCCTTTATTTTATATTTATTTATTATTATTATTATGTTATGGTGCAAGAAGCCAAATTATTAGCATGCCGGTCGGTTCTTTTCCTTGAATAGTCCATCGGACTTTTGTTTCATGTGACCACACGCCCATGTCATGTAATGCGTAACATAAAAGCCTCCTCAGCCGTGCTCGGGTCAAAAATGCTGTTAAGTGGGCCAATCTCCTGAGTGATAATTGAGTACTCCGGAACACAGCAAAGTATTATGGGATTGTTTGGGAACTGTTACATTAGTATTTTTTTTATTTAAAAAAAAAAGAGTAAAATATGAGTTGAGTTTGAAGTGATATGATAAAAATGTAATGTAACTCAAATAAGATGATTATAACTCAAATATGATAATATACTAAAATAGTATGTACTCTTGTAGCACATGTCAAACAAAGCCTATAATTGATGGGAAAAGTGGGATATTATAATTTTGTGTGGAGTGATTTAGTGCCATTTTGGGAACATAGTAAAAAGTCACGTTTTTGAACAAAATATCCAAAAACGTGGCTGCCAAAAACGCAACAAAATCTTTTTGGGAAGTGCCAAAAACGCAGCCCTAAAATTACAAATTAGGGCCTATGAAAAAAAAATTAAAAAAAAAATCTCTTATGTTGGATAAGGGTATTTTGGTCATTTTAATTTGATTTGACACTATAAATAAATATTAAACTAAAAAGCAAAAAGTCAACTTTTTACAAACTTTCCAAATCACTTCTAAAAAAACCAAAAAACTTGATAAAAAATAAAAAACTAGCTTTTTACCAACTCTCGCTCCCTTCTATATTTTGGCATCAACCCACTCCCTTCTCCTATATTTTGTTCATCTGTTCGATTTTCATAATCTATTTTTAAAAAGTTAAAAATTAATTTAGTATAAAAAATAAAAAATATTTATTAGTTTTATCTGCTGGGATGAGAGAAATAATTTTTTAAAAAATATATTTTTAATGTCCTAAAGCTAAGAACACATTAAAAATATAGTATATATATAACATATTGGGATCTACAATTGTGAATAATAATTCGATTTACATATTTGTTTTTTTTATCATTTCAAAAACTAAATCAAGTGTCAGAATAAATATTCTAATGAAATGTTCCATCTCACCGGCATTTTAATAAACCCAACCCTACCCAAATGTCCCTAAGCCATAATTCATGCCAAATTTGTGACAAGCAAAAAGTACCATCATGTTGCTGCAAAAAAAAGTTGCCATTAGAGGCTTATGTACAACTAATTAAACATGCATGTTACAACACCCAAAAAAAAAAGAAGAAGAAGAAGAAGAAGATTACAATCAATGTCTATTTGCTCTCGAATCATTGCTTGCCTTGTTTGAATAATATTAGCAATGTTAAAATTGAGACTTTAAAGATGATGATACACAATCATATTGTAGTGCTCCCAGTGACATAAAGCTTGAAAGTTCAGTTTAATTCCATACACCAACTTGCCTATAAATAAGCATTTGTGGTGATTATCAAATTATATCAAATACATGATCAACAAATCAATTGGAGAAAATATATATCAAGACAAGAGAGGCTTCTCTTCATCGACCTCAGTTTCCATGGCATCTACATCTCCGTTTCCTACTGAAAAACCTTCTTTCCCTTTAGCCCATAGAAAGAAATAGAGGCCGGTGAACATCAGAAACATACCAGCAATACTGTAATAATCGAGGGACATCAAGTCATCAGAATTTTTTTAACAAAAAGCCTAATTTGGTATCGCTTTTGTTTTTCTTTGTTTTCATTTTTCATTTTTACTTCTCATGTTTCAGCATTGAGCCTCTTGTTTAAGGAACAGGGGGAGGGTTTGTAGTTACTTTATTTTTATTTTTTGTGATGAAAAAAATAGTTATTAAAACGAGAAGGATTTCCTCCCGTTCCATTAATTGGACTATAAGGTATACTTGAGAGCTTTTTGGGACCACTTGTGGTCCATTGATCCAAACCTTTTAATTTTTTATTTTTTCCAAGTAAATCATTTATGAAAAACAAATCAAGTTGATTGGATATTCCAAGCCACATGTTTGGATCAAATTTGTATTTTAAAAAATAGAAGATCTAATTTTGAAATTATATTTACCATCTATTTTTTGAAAATTAAAAAATCTATTGCTTGGTTAATAAAAATAGAGTTTTTTTTTTTTTATAGCTAAATCAACTATTGGTAGGATCTGTGTTGTCGCTCAAATTCTCATGAAAGAATACTTACATTGTATTTGGTTGGGGGATTTTAGAAGAAATTTGGAAAGGAAAAGGGAAAAAAAAAAGGAAAAATTGGTCTAGGGTCCCTCTCCCACTTTTTGTAAGGGAAGAGATCCACAAAATTATTTTTTGATGTTTAAGGTCCTCCCATCTATCACAGAGAAATTCAGCCCCCTTCCTTTTGTCTACTCTCACTCGTCACCACGATCAAACACGCACAGAGAGAGAGAGAGAGAGCCATGTCGATGACCGCCGACCTCGACGAAACACTCCTCATCGGCAGCTCCTCTTTCTCTTACTTCATGCTTGTCGCCGTAGAAGTGATTCCATTGGAGACAACAACATCCCAATCCCTACACTGTAGCCCAGACAAAAAAGTAGCCTCACCTCACCAATCTCTACTTTCTCGGCTGTTTGTTTCTCGGGAAACTAGTTTCCTGATTGGAAATCCTGAGAAAATGGAGAAGGTCAAGAAAGGTGCAGGTGGAAGAAAGGTTGGCAGTCCGAAGAAGAAACCCGTTTCCCAGTCCGTCAAAGCCGGCCTCTAGTTCCCAGTCGGCTGGATCGGCCGATACTTGAAGAAAGGCCGCTACTCTCAACACGTCGGAACTGGCGCTCCGGTCTACCTCGCCGCCGTGCTCGAGTACCTCGCTGCTGAGGTCTCTCTCTCTCTTTCTCTCAAAATCTGTGAATCTTCACTGAGCTTGTTCTGTGGAATTTTTTTGGGCAAAATTGGTCTGAGTCTTGTGTTTAATTGTTAGATTTTTTTTATTAATTTTAGTTGTTTCGAAATTGTTGAGCAAAGTTCTGATATTTTTTGGTTGTTGAGTTGGATCTAATCTAGTAGTTTTGCCTTTTCTGTTGAAAAGTCCTAAAAATGTACCGTTTGGGTGCTGAGAATATGCCATGCTGAACTGTATAGGTTTTAGTTTAGTTTAGTTTGACGAGACAGGGTAAAGTAAAACCTTGGAATTTCAACTTTTAGGCCTGGATCAAGTGCAATTTATGATTGATTCTCTTATTCTGAAAGCAAAAATTGCTATGATTGAATCCAGAGAAATTCTCTGGTGATGAGATTTTCTCTGTGTCTTTTCTGTATTTTTTGGGAATTTCTCTGGGTTGTGGAGTCCAGAATTTCTCTGGGTTTAGAGAATTACTGTAGAAAGATTTGTCTGGGAATTTCTCTGGGTTGGAAAATTTCTCTGGTTATTTGTCTATGAGTGTGTTTTGGTTAGCTCCTCAGTTCATCATTCTTGGGATTGAAGATGGGTTTACACTTGTTGGCCTACAAGAGTATTTCTATGATCAAATTAGAGTTTTTGAATCTGTAATAGGTTTCATTGCATTTTTCTAGGTATCAACATTTGTTTAACCCCTCTCTCTCTTTCTCTATTTAATGTGTTTTGTATGTGCATTGTTTTTCTCTGGTTTGGAGTTCAGAGAAATTCTAGAAATTTCTCTGGTAGAAAACTAAAGAAATTTGCAAATCAGAGAAATTTGAAGAGAATTGGACCAAAGAAATTCAAAATTTCTCTGGACTCAACTAATGCATAAGAGAAATACTGAGAAATTCTAGGAAGAATTGAGCCAGAGAAATTATGAGAAATTCAGAATTGCTGTAGATTTTCTAGAGAAATTTGGTCCAGAGAAATTTGGGCCAGAATTTCTCTGGACCAATTTTCTCTGGACTGAAATTTCTCTAGACTGAAATTTCTCTGGATCAAGGTTGAGGGACTTTAGACATTATGAAAATATTGTTGAGGGACCTTAGACATTATGAAAATATTTGGTGTCCTTTATGCTATAAAATCATAATACCAGGGACCTTAAAAAAAAAACCCCCCAAAAAAAGTAGGTGAAATGTGAATAAAATATATTTATATTTCACCTACTTTCACACACGTTTTCCTTTTCCCTAATCTCTCATCAAATTTCCAAACCAAACACAGCGTTAGAGAGAGAAAAAAAAAAGAAAAAAAAAATTTTCTTTGTTTTCATTTTTCATTTTTACTTCTCATGTTTCAGCATTGAGCCTCTTGTTTAAGGAACAGGGGGAGGGTTTGTAGTTACTTTATTTTTATTTTTTGTGATGAAAAAAATAGTTATTAAAACGAGAAGGATTTCCTCCCGTTCCATTAATTGGACTATAAGGTATACTTGAGAGCTTTTTGGGACCACTTGTGGTCCATTGATCCAAACCTTTTAATTTTTTATTTTTTCCAAGTAAATCATTTATGAAAAACAAATCAAGTTGATTGGATATTCCAAGCCACATGTTTGGATCAAATTTGTATTTTAAAAAATAGAAGATCTAATTTTGAAATTATATTTACCATCTATTTTTTGAAAATTAAAAAATCTATTGCTTGGTTAATAAAAATAGAGTTTTTTTTTTTTTATAGCTAAATCAACTATTGGTAGGATCTGTGTTGTCGCTCAAATTCTCGTGAAAGAACACTAACGTAATTGGTTGGAGGATTTTAGAAGAAATTTGGAAAGGAAAAGGGCAAAAAAAAAGTAGGTAAAATGTGAATAACATATATCTATATTTCACTTACTTTCACACACCTTTTCCATTTTTTTTTTCAAATCTCTTCTCAAATCTCCCAACTAAACACAGCGTTAAATGCTCTAGTAAAATGAGATTTCAAATTCTAATTTTTAAAAACAGTTTTCAGAAAATTCTACACTCTTATTTTCCGTATTTTTTTGTTTTTACTGAATTTTTTTAATATTTTATGCAAATTTTTTACTTTTTAGACACACCCAACAAAAATATACCTAAAAAGTAAAAAAAATCTTTTAAAAATTCACTAAATACCAAAAATACAAAAAAAAAAATACAAGAATTTAGTACATTTTTTGTATTTTTATGTATTTCTTAATTTTTTAAAATATTTTTTCATAATTTTTTTTACTTTTTAGACACATCTAAGTAAGGTGCATCTAAAAAAGTAAAAAAAATGTTTAAATTTTAAAAATATTCACTAAAAACAAAAAAAATACGAAAATCAAAAAACTCAATTTTCAAAAACTTAATCAAAAAAACTCAAACCAAACACAGTGAATAGTTATAATAATCTAATTATACTCACTTCTAACATCCTATTATTCAAACATGCAAATTTTTAGACAGTTATTAAGGTACCTTCCAAGAGTAATGGACTCGCCAATGGTGATGAAAGAGAGGACAACAGAAATGACAGTTCCAATGGGACTAAACATGGATACAAGCACTGGTCCTCTTTTCTTCATTGCCCATCCATTGAAGCTCACACACAATCCACTTACTGTCCCTCCCTGTCCCATACAAACCATCATCAATTTCAACAAAGTTATCATACTAAACTAAACTACAAACATATGGAGATAATTGAAATGGAAGAGGTTGTGATTAATACCAATAGAGAATAGCCAATTAGGTCTCGAACACTGACAATTGGCCATCCAATATCAAATTTGTGATTTTGAATCAACTCTAAGATTGCAGTTATTATCACCCCTATCAGTGATGTTATTGCACACATTGACATTGGTGCTGGAAAATCTCCCAATGTTGAAGCCTGTGTCATGTATTCAAATTATCAAATCAAACCCAATAAAATAAAATAAAATAAAAATAGAAAAGAGAGAGAGATATACTTTGTCTTATACTTTGTCAAATCAAAATTTCTTGTGCAAATTAGACAATCAGTTCTTATACTTTGTCTCTTTTGTCAATTGGATTTTTATATTTTTAGTTAAATTGAATATTACCTTACCCCTATCTATGAACTTGTAATTATAGTTAGGGTTTTGAGGTTAAAGGCAAGGGTGTGTGTATTGAGGAAAAAATAAAATATTTGAATTTTTAATTATGTGCAACGAGAAAAGATGTGAGCTAAGAGAATTGGGTAAGAGAAAATAAAAGTTTCTAAGGGTATGCATCTGATTTGAAATGATTCATTCATTCCTTTTTGTATGAATCATTTTGCCATTAAAATAATCTGCAAGAATTCAACGCCAAAATTGATAGAATTGAAATTACAGAAACTACGAGTATAATTTACCCTAATTTCTTGAATTTGAAGGCTATATATATATATATATATATTACCTGTAAGACTATGTTGCTTGATAGAACAAGAACACCAGCCATGAGATAGATGCAGCCAATGATCTTGTCTATGTTAAACATGTAATCACTATCAGATGTAGGTGGTGGTGGAGATGCTAAGTCAGTAGTCTGCTTTGCTATGGGAGTGTGCATTGTACTCTGCATGATGCTCATTGTGATTGCACCAATCACACACAAGAATGTCCCTACAATCTTCACTCTGCTGTACATGCAAGTCAGTTTCAATTTCTCTAACCTGCATCAAAATTTGCAATATTCAATTATACCCTTTCTTGTTGTAATGAGTCTACAGATAGAGAACCAATCACAGTGGAGTAATTTGAGTAAAACTGTTTCATTGAAAAGTAAAGTTGGTACCTAAAAGCTACAGCAATGACGAAGATGAATCCAGGAGCAAGGTTAGGCATAGCTGTGGCCATTGCTGGTGAGGTTAGCTTAATCCCCTTCAAGAACAAAGATTGGAATAATGTTACTCTGAAAAAACAAACACCAAAACGTAAATAGTTAGCCTCAATAATAGTCTATGCTTTACCCATTCTTGAAAGACATTAGGATAATTTCAATGTTTACAAGGCAAAAATATTAGATATGATGCATTGTTTGCCTGGTATTCATGGTTTATAAGAAATCGTAATATAAAATAAGTGTGTCGGTCTTTATTTCTTAACTACTTAATAAAAATGAGCCAACATATTCTATTCATAAAATTTTGGATAAATTACATTTACCTCCCCTGAGGTTTCTGACAAATATAGAGACCTCCCCTGTAGTTTGAATAATTACAATAACTTCCCTTACTTTACCTGACAATGTCAAGATTCTCTCAAAATTTGACCGCCGTTTATACACCTAACCGACCCTGCTGATGTCATCAAAATGTAAGCACTAAAATGTCTATAATGCCCTCAAGTGCCCAATTCAAGAATTGAATTTTTTTTTAAAAAAATTATTTTTTATTTTAAATATATAATTTTATTTAAATATTTTATTTTATTTTGTAAATATTTTAATTTTTTAATTTTAATATTTTAAACTCAAAACACAATTTCACACTCAAATTGTAACCAAACGCATAACTTAAAACTCAATTCAAAAATTATATTCAAACCTCATAACCAAACACATAACTCGAAACTCCACACTATTTTCAAAACTCTGCACTCAAATCATAACAAAACACATAACAAAAAAATTAAAATATTTAAAAATATATTTATAAAATAAAATAAAATATTTTAAATAAAAACTATATATTTAAAATAAAAATTATATATTTTTTTAAAAAATAATTTTTTTAAAATTTTCAAATATTTAAAAAATATATTTAACTTAAATTTGTATTTTTTGTAAGTTTGTGTTTGAATATGAGTTTTGAGAATAATTTTTGAATTGACCAATACAACCATAAAACTCAATTCAAAAATTATTTTCAAACCAAACACATAACTCAAAACTCTACACTATTTTCAAAACTCTACACTCAAATCATAACAAAACACATAACAAAAAAATTAAAATATTTATAAATATATTTATAAAATAAAATATTTAAAATAAAAACTATATATTTAAAATAAAAATTATATATTTAACATAAGTTTGGTTATGAGTTTTGAGTTATATATTTGGTTAAGACTCTATGAGTTTTGAAAAGTTTTTTGAAAATTTCTAATTGTAATTGTGATTCTAAAAGAAAACCAAACATGTTTCTAAAAAAAATATTTTTTCGGAACATGTTTTTACTCAAAATTCAATTCAAAAATTATTTTCAAAAACTCATAACCAAACACATATTTTAAAACTCAATTCAAAACTCTTTCAAAATCCAAAACCAAACTTTTTTCCAAAACTTTATTTTAAAAGAAAAAATTTTAAAAAAAATTATTTTATTTTTTAAAATTATTTTTACAATCATGATTTGAGTGTGGAGTCGTATTTTGAGTTATGAGTTTTGAAAAGAGAAAATTGGTTTGGTTATAAATTTTGAAATTTTTCAATTTATTTTTTTAGGGTAAATATTTTATATTTATTTTAATGTGCATTATATTTCATACATTTATGTGTTGTATTTTTTAATATTTTAAATATATTTTTTAAATATTAAAAATTTTTAAAAAATTATTTTTTATTTTAAATGTATAATTTTTATTATAAATATTTTTAAATTATTTTATTTTATGATTGCGTTAGTAAATCACGGGCAATGGCAGTGAACAAAGGGTTTATGGTTATGGTTGAACAGATGGTTTTTTTGTCTTTTTGCAGGCAAAAGCAAGGGTAATATGGTAATTTTCTATATGATACTAACGCCGTTTGTGCAAAATAGACAGAATGGGAGAATCTTGACATTGTCAGGTAAAGTAAGGGAGATAACTGTAATTATTCAAACTACAAGGGAGGTCCCTGTATTTGTCAGAACCTCAGGGGAGATAAATGTAATTTACCCTAAAATTTTTCGAAACGTGATTAGTTTGGAATATCATGTAGACAATGCCATTTGAGACTACTAAATATTTATTTGTTTATAAGTAACCTTAATTATGTTTTTTAGGTTCAAGAGTAAAGCATAAAGCTATGTATGGGTTTGGATAGGAATTTGAGAAGGAAAATGAAAAATGTGAGGGCAATATGAATAAAATTTAAACTAAATTTTTTCTCAAATTTTCTTTCTCTTCCCAAATACCTACTCAAATTCATAATCTAAACATATCCTAAATGACATCCATCATAATTCCCCCTTGTTGAGGAAATGATGTATATTGTATGTTATTTCAGAATTACAAATAAAATTACAATCTATTTCAGAATTACAAATAAAATTACAATCAATACAGAAACCAATCATAAAATCGGATATAACCTTTTCATATGAATTTGGGATCCACAAACACAGAAATCAATCACAGAACTAGTGGAGGTCTTATCTTTTTATCTTTTTAGGGCTCCCACACTCATATAGAAGTTATTCGATTTTGTGATTGATTTCTGAATAAGTAAAATATGGAAATTAACTGTGACATATTACATGTATTTTGTCAAACCAATGGAGACAGCTTGATGCACGTTCAGCTTACAATGGGTAGCTCTTACCACATCTTCTTTCAGATTTTACATTCGAGAGAAAGTTAGTTGGGTATCATTATCAACCCAGTTTTGAAGGTAGTTGGCTTAAAATGAGGTGATTTTATTGATCAAGCAATCTTACTTAGAGTTGGGTTTAAGTATTTGGATTGATCAATCCCATAGAAGCTAGAATAGACAGCACATTTCAATCTACATAAATCTATTTTATGAGTTAAAAAGATTTAATTTTTTTTCTTTTTTATAGAAATGTAAATTTCATTATAAATTCTTAATATTAATAGCCGGCCTTAGCTAAAAGCAAGATTGGTAGATGAAAAACCATAAATTTTGAAATAGTTGATTTTTTTTTTTGTGTGTGTTAATGGGTTGCGATTAAGGGTGAAAATTTTAGATAGGACTCGAATAGTACACAAAATTAGTAAGTTATGATTGATTATTTTTTAACACAAAACAAACACAAATCGAAAAAACATGACATGAATATTAGTAATATGACACAACGTCCACCCCTATTCTGAAGAACCAAAGCATAGATAGCTTCTATAATTCTTTCTAATCTTCTTTTTTTTCTTTTTTATTTTAAGTTGTAAAACAAGGAAGGCAAAGAAAGAGGAAATATATATATGTAAACCAAATGAGTTTTTCCTAACAAATTTTCAATTATCAATGCAACTTAGAACATAGATGGGAAAAAAAATTAAAACAAGAAATTTGCTTACCCTCCAAAAGCAATTAAAACCAGCTGAATACACAATTTCAGAGTCAATTTCTTGGGCCATTTACTCCTGCACCATAACCAAAGAAAGATAATCATGCATCTTTCACACCTTCCAACCCAGAAAAAAAATGGAGAGAGAGAGAGAGAGAGAGCTACCTTTCAAAATAAACAGAGAGAGGAGAGAGAACACAGAAGGTGGCAAAGGTAGAGAAGATGATGATAGTGAGAGGATTGAGGCCTAAGAACATAAGATAACTCAGCAACACTGAGTTTCCCGCATATACAAATTGCACCCCTATCAATCCTGCTATTAATGCAAAGTCTTCAAGCAATTCTTTCTTTGGACTCCCCATCTTCATTTTTCTCTTTCTCTTTCCTCTTGGAAGAGAGAGAGAGAGAGGGAAGAGGGCTTGTTTCTCTTCTCCTTTATCTTCCTTTCCTAACCTTACTTTACATGCAAAAACTCTCTCTTTCTCTCATAGATGGTGGTTGTTTCGGTTTTTCTGTTCTCTCATTCTCTTCAGTAATACCACGTATATATTCAGAAAAAAATATTCCGAAAATAAAATATATAGATCAGATTTATTCTAGATATCGGTTCTTTGAGTTATTGTTCCATCCCCCTCTAGGTTGGTTGGTGTTTATATATTTCCCTTTCTATGTCCTCAGCTTAGCTAACATTCAAATGTTACACCTCCTCCCTTTCTCCATCGGTCTTTGTCTGGTTGTTTGCAAGCAAAAGAAGGGTTTTATTTTTCTTTTTCGAAAAGAGATTGTCAACAAGGTGGGTTTTTCTTTTTTTTTGGTAACTAACACATCATTTTTACCATTTTTAGGAGGTTACTTCCTTCTAAATGAAATATTTGATGGTTGTTTTGAAAATTAATGGAGCAATAGTGACTTTTTTGTTCTTTTGAAATGGAAGGTGAGCTTGAAGAGATTTTTTGTACACAGATAAAAGATGGTCTAGATTCCTCTTTTTTCTTTTTCTTTTTTTTCTTAGGGTTTTTCGGGAGAAAATCTCTCCTTATTTCTAATTTTATAGAATACTATTCAATGGTTGTTTTGAAATTTTAGAGTTGTATTTTATTTTATTTATTTATTTATTTTTGTAGTATAGAAGTAATTGTCATGATATGTTCCACCATATTTAAGGATTAAGCATAATAATTGTAGTTAGTCAAAACCGATTTTAAAACTAAACATATTAATAAACGCAAACAAAAATAATTATTCAATTGAGGCTACCAAAATATACATTAAATTTTTTATTTGTTTTAAACAGAAAGGTCATTAGGCTGAGGATTACAAAACAAATAATTAAATTTGTCAAAAAGATCTATAAATATTTCAAAGATGCATTGTGTTGTCCGTTCATAGTTCCATTCTCGAAACGAGTTGTACACCTTCCTCGCTAACTATTATCTCCTGAAAATTGATAAACAACTTATAAACATATTGCAAAAGAAGAGTGTTATAAAAATAACATAAGGGCATCAAATCATCATGAATAAATATTTATGCCAAATTTGATAAGATACATACATTAATAATTAAAAAATAAATCTTGTGGCATAATAGGTTGGTCTAGTGTAAGTTGTTATAAGTTAAAAATTAATAATTAAAAAATAAAAATTAAAGCACTTGTGTCTATTTAAATATTTATGCCAAATTTGATAAGATATAAAACATTTCATTCAAAATAAATAAGTTGCTTATGTCTGGAGAGCACCGGCAGAATAGATGGTTTCAACAAACCTGTAACAGAAAGAAAAGGCTCCGGCGGTGGCTCTTCCACCCGGGGGCACTCCGACGATCAAGTCAGTATATCTCTCAAAAATAATCAAGTGCTAAACTCACAAACTTGAGTATAAAACTGCGTACCTTAGACCCATGGGGCTGCCTCTCTTTTATAACCAACATAAACCTAGTCCTAATAGAAGCCAAACTTCTATGGATTCGGGATTACTGCTAATCTTGGATTCCCAGTAAGATTAGGATAAACTCTCTAAGAATCTCATCTTTACCCAAACTGAAGTCTTCTCCCAATCTAGGACTTTTGTCCATATTCAGGTTGAGTTCTCTTTTCATTCTAAGACTCTTGTCCTTTATCCGCTTATCTCGGATTCCGATATCTTCGGAGATAACCTCGGCCTTGCCGAGATCACCTCAGCATAACTTCCTCGACACGTGGCACCTCGGCTGATACGTCGGCGTCACCATGCCACGTGTTGGTATTCAGAAAATACATCCCCACAACTGCCCTCTAGGTTCTATTACCTCGGCATTTTGAGGTGATGGAACCTATATCTGTATTTTCTTTTATTACCTCAGCGTAAGAACTCTTCGGCCGAGATTGTCAAGCCGATATGTCTTGTTTTCAAGAATCAAGAACTCGAATGAACTTTCCCACGCGCATGAGCTGTCATGCATCACTTCTCAACCGTTACTGCGAGGTTCCGAGCCTACTGTTAAGGCTTAGGGGTGTTTTAGAATTTCCCCATTTTTGTACTGTTTCACTGTTTTGTATAGACTGACTGTTTACTGTACTGTTATACAGGGATTAGGTCCTTGTACTGTGTGACTGTTAATTTTGTATACTGTGTTGTACAGACGGAATGTTTTCTGTACTGTTATGTGGGGTTGAGTCCCTAGTTAAATGGATGTAAATATTGTGTATACTGTTCTGTACTGTTTTTGTATAATTTATGAAAAGCCTTTTTGCATACAGACTGTCACAGCTCATTGGACACTATTTATTACTGTTTTGGCTTTCGCCAGTCCCTGTACTCTGTATTACTGTCTTACTGTTAAGCAAGCCTTCGGTAATCTCAAGCCGATATGTCTTGTTTTCAAGAATCAAGAACTCGAATGAACTTTCGCACGCGCATGAGCTGTCATGCATTACTTCTCAATCGTTTTACTTACGCGTCTCTTCCTTATTGCTCCGTGCCTGCGACGCGCTTATTAGCCGTCTTAATCTGTCTGCGCCGTCTGACGCATGCGGTTTTCCAGGCGCAATAATTGCCTTATTTTGCCGCCGTGTTACATTTTCAACAATGATACTATCTTTTGCTTTCGTCTGTTCACTTTTACATCTAAGTTCTTTTGCTTTTTTCTCTCTCTAAAACTTTTTCTCTCGAGTCCGCCATTGCTGAAGCTCCAAGCTCTGTATCTGTCTTCCTGGTGGAACTTTCGTCGTTCTGCCACATCTGTAACTACCGATTGACTTCGGCAGTTTTCACATCGGCTTCATTCTTTTCGGTATGCAACTGTTCCTTCTCTTTTCAATTTTCGATCATTTCTGGAATCTCCTGTTATTACTGCCTTGTTCAAATATCTATTTTATGAATCATACACTTGAATGTGTTTACTCCTTAATTTGGCCCTTGCCTATATCTTGAACACACGCACCGTTGCACTACTCCACTGTATTTTTGCCACTGATTTTGGTCCTTTATTTCTTGTATACTTCATGTTCTTGATAGCCCATCCCTGTTCTTGTTTCTGAAATTTCGCCTTTGTTTTCTGTTTTTTGTGTCTTTGCCAGATCGCTGCCTTCGATTTTTTGCTTTCAATCTTGGCCTTCACAGATTTAGGTTTGGGTTTTGTTTATAGAACCTTCAATTTTTAGGGAAAACTGAAACAATCCTTACCAGCATATACCTAGGGTTTCGCCGAGGTCCAGACAACCCCCTAAGAGCATTTTCTTTCTGAAACCTAGCCCTCTGATTTTAGGCCGACGTTATGAGAATGTGGAGACATAGGGTAGACACCCCGACCAAACTTGAGTACTTTAGGCAGGAGTTCTCTATTCCTGCCGATCTCCATCTGAGGCTGGCTGTAGATAACGACTCCATCATGCCCACAGATGATTCAATGCCCTTTCCCATAGTAGCTTTTACTGAGTGCGGACTCCGGCTCCCACTTAACATTCTCTTTCGCGAAATTCTTCACTTTTACAAGTTGAACCCTATGCAACTTGCCATAAACTCTTATCGAGTGATCAATGGCATCATAGCTTTAGCTAGGCAGGAGAACGCTAGGATCACCCTTGCCGACATTCAGTACTGTTATACCATGTGCCCCCTTGACCTGAAGGAAAAAGGTTACGTCTATTACCTCAAGCCGAGGTCCACTGATTTCAAAATCGTAGCCGACCTTCCAGACTCAACAAGGGGGCTGGAGATGATTATGTTATCGCTTCGGGAAATTGGGAGTTTGGTGCAGACGAGGACGCCCATCTCTACCCTCTTCCCCGATCAATTAAAAAGGGCAAGGGTAAGAGCCCAGTGTTAATACTTAGTTGTTTCTGTTCAAGTCTTCAACATTTTATCTGTTTCTAATGTCTGTTTCTTCTTGCAGACGTTCGCAAGCCAGCGAAAGACTTTCGCCAATCTTACGTTCCTAGCAAGGACCTGAAAAAGCTTCTAGACTTGCCTGTCCATAAAAGAAAAGCACATCTTCTTCTAAACTTTATTCCTACGTACAAATCCATTCTGCCCGACGTCCCGAAGAAGAAGAAGAAGAAGAGTTTTTCTTCTCCTATTGCCACAACTCAAACCGCCTCTTCATCACGAATAGATCAAGAGTCAACATCTGACCAAACCAATCAACCATCTACCTCGGCCCCATACTTAATCCCAATACCGGAAAGAAAACGTCGGCGACGACTTGTCAAAACTGCTGAGATAGGTCGCCCGAAGCTTGTTGCCCAAGATCTCCTAGCCGACCTCCCAGTCGATGCTGAGGCTGAACCAACCCAATCCATGCCCCCTCCAAAGCCAAAAAGAACAAAAAAGGCTCAGCCAAAGGACAAAGTGACTCAGGTTGAATCTGAGGATACTTTGCCTATTTCCAAACTGGCTGAGAATAAAAAGACTTCTTTTGCTCCTGCAAAAAGGTCTGCTGAAACCCCACTCTCTGAGTCCACACAGTCAAAGAAGCCGAGGTCGGCCTCAGCTACTACCTCGGGGTCCAAGAAACCGGATGTCCCTTGGGCTCCCAAAATTACTTTGGAAGACAGGCCAATTATGTCCAATGAAAGCGCCGACGACATAAATGTCGGCGTTGCCCTCAGCACGGCGTTGCTTCTTCTGGGTGACCTCGAGCGAAATGCTGAGTATAGTGAGTATGAGAATTATGCTCTAATGCTCCAGCACTCCGTTCAAGTAAGTGTTCCTGCTTGGAACTTTCTACTTTCTTTCTGTTTCATACTTAAAATATTTTCCAACACTTCTGTTTTCTTTCAGGCCATCCAGCATGCCCATTCGTTTTCAATGCAATCTTTTAAGAATCGGGAAAGGATGACCGAGATAAAGAAGGAGTTTTCTGCCCTGCAAAAGACCAACAAAGGTCTTCAACTAAAAATGAAGAAGATGGAAGACCAGGCCGAGGCTGCAACTAAGGCCCAACAGATAGCCGAGGAAAAAGCTAAATCAGCCGAGGCTATAAGGAAGGTCACCGAAGCAGAGAAGATAGAGGCCGAGGACAGAAAGTATAGACACCCAATTTTTGACCGACCTTAAGACTTAGACGTCACCGATTGAGCGCTTGGTGATGTTGCATATCGTGCTCGTTCAGAGGTTTCAGAGTCTCGGCTGTGAGCCTTGCCTCCGGACTTCCGAACTCTTTCATGCTTTGCCTCGGTTTGCGAACCAGGCTCTGT